ACGTACATTCACAGTCACTTTATTAAGGACATCTGTTCAACTGCTTGTTTATGCAACTATCTAATCAGCCAATCACATGGCAGGAACTCAGGGCAGGCAGGGAGACACGGTCATGAAAACCTGCCGAAGTTCAAACTGAACATCAGAATGAGGAAGAAGCATAATTTAAGTGAATTTAAACGTAGCATGGTTGTTAGTGTAAGTATTTCAGAAACTGCTGATCTGCAGGGATTTTCCCACGTGTACATGTTTACACAGAATGGTGTGAAAAAGAGAAATATCCAGTGCATGGCAGTTAAAATGCTGATTAAAGGAGGATGGACAGACTAGGAATAGGAAGGCAACAGTAGCAAAATAGCCACTCATTGCAATCAAGGTCTGCAGAAGAGCATCTCTGAACGCACAGCACATTGAACCTTGAAGCAGATGAGCTACAGCAGCAGAGGACCACACTGGGTGCGAGTCCTGTCAGCTCAGAACAGGAAACTAACGCTACAGTTCAAACAGGATCATTAACACTGGACAATAGAAGACTGGAAAAACGTTGCCTGGTCAGATGAGTCTCGATTTCTGCTGCAACATTCAGATGGTAGAGTCAGACTTTGGGATAAACAACATGAAAACTTGGATCCATGCTGCCTTGTATCAACAGTTCAGGCTGCTGGTAGCGCGATGGTGTGGGGGATATTTTCTTGGCACACTTTAGACCTCTTAGTGCCAACTGAGCGTTTAAACAACGCGGCCTCCCTGAGTATTGCTGCTGACCATGTTACATTATGAGAAAATATTTTTTTTGTGATGTTATGTTCTAAGTTGAAGGCGTTGTATACGTTTTTGTTGTTTAAATTTAGATGATGAGGATGTAAACCTGAGGGGGTAGGGCTAAATAAGTATATACTTCTGCCTACTCCTTTTCAAACAACTGCATGGAATGGTTTTATGAAACGTTGGTGAATGTATATGTTTGAAATAAAAAAGAACTGAACTGAACATTAAATTACAGCAGTAAAGCAGCCTTTATTACCACCATATTACCATCTTCTTGAGCTTGTTTAATGTAACATGTGGTATAAAAGTGGCATGAATATAATTCACAGTAATGTCAGTTTATGTTTGCAAATTCTTTGTGAACCCTAAATCTCATAAACAGTTAAGAAAATAAATGGGTGGATGGAGCACAGGTTTATGCAGATTCATACTCTAGGGAGCATTGTTTAGACAAGTTAGCTATCCCCACATGGTGAAAGGTACCCTCGAAGCTTTGCTCCAAAATACTTTTTGAAGTCGTCATTGGTGAATTATTGGATAAGAGATCATCCCAGATATTGAATTAGTGCAGTTTTGCCATTGAAACTGTTATTCATCCAATGATACTGATGCTCAAAGCTGGTCCATCCATCCATCGAGCCAGTTTCTTCCACTTATACAATGGGCGGAGAAGCGGAGTACACCCTGGAGAGGTCACCAGTCTGTTGCAGGACTAACACACAACACATTCACACCTTTTGGCAATTTAAAATCACAAATTAACCTAACCCTACTAAGCGTACTGTGAGAGGAAGCTGGAGTACCCAGAGAAAACCCACACAAACACAGGGAAAATATGCAAACTCCACATAGAAATTACACGTGAAGATAGTGGATTCAAACCTACGACCTTCTTGCTGATTACAGAAAAACAAAAAAAAGTTCTGAAAAAAAACAACAAGATTTCTTGCTTTGGACTGTGACAGTTAAAGTGGATGTAAAATTGATTTGGTTGCAGTTTGTAGCAGAGCTGAGAAACTGTGAGCTCTGAAAATGTCATGCCTCAACACTCATGTACGTTACGAGGCCTCAAAAACTTGCTGGAAACAATAAGACAAATCAAAAGCACCAGATTTCCACCAACCCTTATGTACTTTTCAGGCCTGTCACTGATACAAAGATTAAATTGCGCATGGCTTCATTAAATATATTGAAGTTAAAAATGGTGTCTTTCTAAGGAGGGGTCAGGTTGGAGGCGCACACTGTTTTTAAACATGGCTAAAACTATGTTTAAAAAAAAAGCTCAGGATGACTGAAGTGCATTTAAGTTGAAAGCATGAATTGTGCTAATGACTACTCTGAATAATGTGAAAATTACCATGCCACAAAATGTAACTGTTACTAATTACTACATGAATGTTTGTAATGAGTTCGGCTAATAACAGACTGCAAGTGGCAAAAACCACAGAACATGTTTTCACACGTGCACTGCTGGGTGGCCAAACGGCCATGCAGTCTGTTTATAACCAGTTCCTGTAAGATTGCAGCAGGAAACAAGAAGCACACATGATGCAAAGACAATGCATCTTTGCATCATCTCTATTTTACCATTGGCTCTCTGCGCACAACCCCACCGTCCCCTTTTAACTAAGAACTGACACACCGCAGCAATGAACTGCAATGCCTTCACGACTGGGCAAAGGGGATGCAACCTAAAACAAACCATAATTATCGATTTGTGGTCCTGCTTGGGGCAAAAAAGAACATAATACAAAAGCACACACAAGATGTTTGGAGTTCCAGTAAGTTCCACAACCACAGTTTAGTCTCGGGGGATTCTGGGTTCCTCTTAGCTGAACTTCTTCGCTTTCTTTCTTGAAAGATGCATGCACACACATACATATACACTCCTGCATGCAATAAACGTAACACTAGCTCACAGGTCTTGGTGTCCATGGGACAGTTTGCTCTGCCGGCCTGCTGTGGGCCGGGCCTGCGTCTTTTGTCCTAGACGTTGCTTCAGACTTACTATCTGTTTCCACAGCCGTGCGCCTGCTGACCCAAGAATGCGGACAGCACTCGGGTACATTGTTTTACGAGGCTTAGCGGCATATGCGAGATGTGAAATGTAGATGCTGTTAATTTTTTGCGATAAAGCTAACTGTGGGGGTATTTTTGTACCAGTGTGTGATACATTTATTTTTAAGTGATAATCTGACAAGGAGATTCTTGTCCTTTCACATTTGGCATCATCTTTGGTGAAATTTAGTAACTGCTCAACTGATCTGTATGCACCATTACCATTACCAACATATGGAAAGTTAGCTACGTTGCTAACTAATCAAGTCAAGTTGCAGACAAACTCAGACTGATCGCAATGTGTTGGCAATCTAATTTATGAATTAAAAAGCAATTACTGGCAATCATTTACCAGTCTGTCTGAGAGTGATAACAGTCAGTCCAACTTGGACTCCAATTGTTTGGAGACAGGTTGCCTCCCACCAGTTAACCTCTTCCAAAAATGGTCATCCAGAGGTTGAGGCAGTTGCGTGCTCAACCTTTGGACAGTCAGTTGGGTGCTGCAGCTATTTGCAATTTGCCGAACCTGAACAAATTCAAGCAATCACTGTGCAACCACCGATTTTTCCTAGTTGCAAGGAGGTTCGACTGAGTTGTAAGCGTCTTTGTTTACTCGTGTACTGCATAAACTGCGAAACATTTAACAGGAGTCATCTTCCCAAAATGTCACACTTCCTGAAAGAGAAACAAATACCACAGTTGTGTCGTCATATGTGCCAGCGCAACGCTCTGAGAGCTTTCTGATGTTCTCGCTCCGGTTTTCCACACTCGATATAGTACGAGGTGTTCGCTGCTCGTATTTTACATACTTCTCCACCCTTTCCCGAACAGTGCTGCTGCCGCTGCAACCCCTTGACCTGTCTGTCGACCCTTGTTCCCATGGCAATTAGTTAGAAACCTTGGCCAATTATCGGTCGCTCTCAAACTCGGGCTTAACAAAGTGCTCAGAGCAGCCGACGGCGTGCCACCACTTTCCTAAACCCCCTCAATAGCTGAGAGAGATTTGTGTGATGGGTTAATAGCGGGATAGTAAAAGCACTGCAGAGGCGACATTGTTGAGTTCATGTTGGTTTATAGTGCGCTGTGACCCTGCTGAACGTTTTATAGAGAAGGGTGTCTATCATGGGATAAGGGCAGCATAAAGAGGACTCCACAACAAGCAGCCATAAAAGCCTGGTACATGCTGCACAACCTGTTACACACTGCCAGGCGAGAAACAGAGATCGAGTGTCTTTCTATCCTGCGTGTAGGTGACGCGTCCCCTCAAGAATGTGGTTCTCTTCCTCTCGCCGTTTGCTTCAATTTCCCCCTCTGCCTGCTTACTTCACTCGCACAGCCGAGGAGCTGTCGCTTGAGGAATCTGGAAAACACCAGTGGGGAATGAGAGGAATTTCTGCTTTTCGTTTTTCCTTAACCACCCCCTCACTCCTTTCGCTCTCTTTACTTTGGACGCCTCTGCACAGCCGGGCTCTTGAGTTTTCTCTTGTTTCTGAATGCAGCCCAACAATAACAACCTCTCATAAACAATGGGGCTTGTTGATTTGGGGGTTGTGAAGGAGAGTGGCCGTTGCTGGCCTGCGCTGTCAGTTTTGCTGGCAGCGGGCCTCGCGAATGGCCCTAAAAGCTCGAAAGTACAGGCTACATCGAGGACTGTGAAAGATTTAAGGGCAACTTTAAATATGCCCCATCTCTGAAGGACCATAAACACATGCTTTAGTTCTTTCTTAATCTATCTTTCTTCCAGAAGGACTTTGATGGACCAAACTCTGAAAGGGGGAAGCTGGTCAATGTCAGGAAACCACAAAAGTACAGGAGGGGGAAAAAAAATGGCAGTTTTGGAATTCTCTGCTTTTACAGCACCCGTGGACTCGTAAAGCCAGTCTGGATCACATCGAGTAGGATTTGAACAAGAGGATGGTGGAGCCGTGCCCCGTCCTTTCAGCCTATGGGCAAAACATAGCCGGTCACATGTCATTTAAACAGCAACAGTTAAACCCCGCCTGCGTGACAGGGAAATGATAATACAGCAATGTGTCCTGGAATAACTCTGTCTCTACTGTTTCCATTTTGGAAGATGATACCGCACATTTCTGGACATTGTCCCTCATCTGCTGAACCGATTTAATGACTCTCACATCAACTAAATCAAAATAAAATGTCAAAAGGGATTCCTGTGAATGAGATGGGTAAACAAACCACTGCATTTTATTATAATTTCCTACAGGCTGCATACCAGAGCAAAGCTTTTTTGGAAATACAATGGTTTTTCCAAAATATCTCAGATGCACAAACAAGACATTACACAGTCCACTGCCTTTAGCGGGAACACACAGGAGTGGTGCGCCCTCATGTGGGCAACAGGAGACCAGCAGGTGGCTCTAGGTTGAATTTAGGGTAAAAACAAAACAGCCATTGTTTTGTATCTGTGCTTCTGTGTAGCTAGCCGTCCTCCATCTAAACACAATATAATAAAAAGATATCCACGTTTGGGTTCTTAAGTAGTTTATTATAGTTTATTTAACAGGTAACTTAACACTCAACAGTCATTCACTCACACACACACACACACACACACACACCAAGCACATATCAAAAAGACACTCTGTACTCAGAGTCTGCAGCAGCGTCTCAGTGAAGGGGTCACTGTGGTCATCATTTGCTTGCAGCCTTGAATGGATCAGACCATATCTTCATACCTTCAGACAAAAAAAGAGACACAGAGACAGAGAGCTCTCATTAATAATAATCAGTCTATCAGTCATGGATTGGCCTCTCCAGATGCTGGACCTCAACATCGTTGAAGCAGTGTGAGATCATCTTAACAGACAACAGAACAAAAGGCAGAAACATCCAAAGAAGAGCTTTAAATGTCCTTCAAGAAGCCTGGAGAACTATTCTTGAAGACTACTTAAAGAAACGACAAGAAAGCTAACTTGAGGCAACTGCTGTTGTGATTTAGCGCTATATAAATAAAATTGAATTGCGTAAGAGTGTTCAGGCTGTGATGAAGAATAAAGGTGGTCATACCAAATAGTGACTTTCAAACTCATTAGGATTGTACAAACTCTGTTTTTGCCTTTATATACTGTAATTCCATGTATGTTTGCACAATAACTTACTGAAGCCGTTTCCCATTTTCGTTGCAAAATATAAAGAAATGAGGAGTGTTTTAAGACCGTTGCACAGTACTGTACTAGAGAGAAAATATAACAATAGCGATCCCCTTTACTCTTAAGATATATGTTGTAATTCATGAATTTGTATGTACAGTATGCAAGCTGTACAAACAAGCTGATAACAGCTCACACTTACCCGCAGGCTGCACATCTGCCTGGTTGATCCCTGCCCGGTTCACCTTTTGGACTTCTCCTAGCAAGGACAGAATAACAGAGCAATTTGGGTAAATCTGTTAAAAACAAAAACAAAAACAAAACAACAACAACTTGCAGCTAAAGTCACTGATATAAACAATTTCCTTTGTTTTTTTAAACACTACAGCTGGTTATTACCAGTCTTTACTGTCTTCATGTCCCATGTATGTCAGGACGACAGCTCTCCATGTACCTGATAAGGACTATATTTGTCTTAGCTGACATAACTTCCTTTAAAACAGGGAAGAAATGTAGCAGTATTAATGTAGTAGCTGGATTTATTCAAGTCAAATAATGTTCATAATCACCTTTGACTCTTAACGGGCGCTCTAACTGAATGTATGTGTTAGGTTACATGAGTTACCTCAATGGCACTCTTTATGCTAGCTAAGCTAAACAAACCTACACGGACTGCTTATCATTTGTGGAGTAAAATGACATTTAGCTCAGCCGTAACTAAGGAGAATTGTAAACGACATTAGGCCAGGCTTTCTAAACTAATTGTGTAACTAAATGAAAGCAAAGAAAGACAACTTACTGTACTCGTCTTTGTGTGTGAGAGGGTAAAAAAATATGGGGTAAAACGCAGCAGCAACGGCCGTCACAAACCCTCCAAACACCAACATTATTTTCGTGTTTTTAGACATTTTCTCTGCTGGGTAGAAAAATATCGCTCTCACCTCCAAATGTGCGCACTGTTTACACTGACTGCTTCCGGTGAAAAGGTCACTGGTGCCTTTAAAAAAAAGGCGACACGACAAGTCGGCGGTTTGGCCTGTCTGGGCTTCCGTCGTCACAGTCACATGCCGTAGTACAACAATAATAAGGAAGTCAGCCAAGTTATCTAAGCCCTCTTCTCTCGTATGGGATTCAAAGATGGGATTTGTAACGGCTGTCGTGTTTGCTGTTTGCTGCTGGTTCTCGCATGGAGTGGCAGGGCAAGAAGAGCCGATTCAGACGTTTGTGATCCCTCACAGTCACATGGATGTTGGCTGGGTGTACACTATCCAGGTAGGTGTCTTTAACCCGGCTAAAAAGTTGAGATGCATATAACGCGCAGATTGGGCTTTAATCTGGGTAAATGTGTTTATAAATGTGAGTGCAGGAGAGTATGCACGCCTATGCAGCTAATGTGTACAGCAGTGTGACTGAGGAGCTGTCAAAGGTTAAAGAGCGCAGGTTCATCGCTGTGGAGCAGGAGTTTTTCCGTCTCTGGTGGGACACCGTGGCCTCGGTCACACAAAAGAAACAGGTGAGGATATATATTCACGGCTACGTGACTATGGAGGGTACACGATAACGCCCCAGAAATTAAACATCCCAGCTGTTTTCTCTTAGATTAACCCTGCTGTGGTTTTTGTGCAAACTCCTCTCTCTTTCTCTCCAGGTACGACAGCTTATCAAAGAAGGTCGTCTTGAGTTCATCATCGGAGGTCAAGTGATGCACGATGAGGCTGTAACTGACCTGGACGATGACATCTTGCAGATGATGGGTAACGCCACACACTTCCTGCTCCTTCAGTCCACAGCTGCAGCAATAACATACAGTGGTTCTAAAGATGTGAACAATTCCTGTTAAAATATCAGGTTTCTGTTGTTAAAATAAAAATAAGACCACAATAAACCATCACAAAAACCTGAGATTTTAACAGGGGTGTGCACAGTTTAGTTTTATTTATTTATATAACACCACAGTCACAACAACAGTCACCTCAAGGTGCCTTATATTGTAAGGTAACAACCCTAGAGTAATAGTGAGAAAACCCCAATGATCAAGTGACAGCATATAAGTAAGCGCTTGGTGACAGCGGGAAGGAAAAATCCACAGTAACTGAGAACCTCCCTGCTGTTTCAGAGGGTCACGGCTTCCTGTATGAGACATTTGGGGTGCGTCCTCAGTTCTCATGGCATGTGGATCCTTTCGGAGCCTCTGCCACCACCCCTGTACTGTTTGCCCTGGCTGGATTCAATGCACATCTCATCTCTCGCATTGACTATGACCTTAAGGATACCATGCAGAAAAACAAGGTAGCGCAGCATAAAAACAACAGTCACATGGTCGTCTCAATCTGTGCTCCAAATATTTATAGCTAATCTAGTTTTATGTTTTCCAACACAGAAACTGCAGTTTGTATGGCGAGGCTCTCCCTCTTTGAAATCACAGCAAGAGATCTTCACTCACACCATGGACCAGTTCAGCTATTGCACTCCATCCTACCTGCCATTCTCCAACCGGTGCTTCATTTTTAGCTTCTCTGGTGCCTTATGTTACATTTGTGGTCATCATTAATACGGTATATCTTTAATAACTATTCTTGTTCTTCCTCTTATGTCTCAGGTCTGGTTTCTATTGGAATGGAGTTGCCTTGTTTCCGGACCCACCTAAAGATGGAATTTACCCCAACATGAGCCTACCTGTGACCAAGGAGACAGTCCATGCTTACGCCAAGACTATGGTGGAGAACATCAAGCAGAGAGCAGCGTGGTTTAGAACTCATCATGTGCTTTGGCCATGGGTAAGTCAAAAAGAACTGTAAATCATCCACCCGCCCATCCATCCATCTTGTATCAAATCCAAGTAACAATCTTAAGGGATGAAATGCAGTTCGTCTAAAGCCCCCAAAAAAGGCAAGCTCCAAAAAGTGAGAACCTCTTTGTAGAAATGTTAAACTTTGGGTTAGAAGCATATTTAAAGCTTGCAATACAAAACTAAAGAACTTCTTTTCTTGTTTTTAAAGATGTTATCTGACAAATAATGTTGCTTGGTGTGGGTAACGGCACCAATAAACCATAAAAGAAGCAATCTTTTATTTGTTCAGAGAGACTATGACCCTAATCAAGCTAGATATTGTTAGCTGATGACTTACCACTTCACTCTCTTTTCCAAATATGATCTGTTACAAAGAAAAAATGGGAAACTTCAAAACGAAGTTTCAAAGTGGGACTCTACTGTGGAAGTGTCCATCTTTTATATACAGTCTATGGTAAACGTATCTAAGGTTCGGGACAAAATGTAGGAGTTAGTTTTGTGAAACAGCCTACTCACATGTGCGATCGTCCCGTTTTAGGGCTGTGACAAGCAGTTCTACAACTCATCAGTACAGTTTAACAACATGGACCCTCTGATGAAGTACATCAACCAGAACAGCAAAGAGTTTGGGGTAACAGTCCAGTACGCCACTCTGAGTGAATACTTCCAAGCCATCTACCAATCAAATCTAACCTGGGAGGTGCGTGGGAGTGAAGACTTCCTGCCATATTCAACTGGTAACAAATCGATATCCTAACACGAAACGGTGAAGAGGTCCTCTTCACATAAAGTACTGTGTATTTGAAAACACGACACGCTGTCTCGTACAAACTTCATGTAAATTGGAAATGTGTCGCACTTTTTAGAGCCCTACCAGGCGTGGACGGGGTTTTACGCCTCCAGAAACGTCCTGAAAGGCGTGGCGCGACATGCCAGCTCAAAGCTGTACGCAGCAGAGACCCTCTTCGCCCGCTACCGAATCAGTTTCCCAGATGGACCTGTGGCCAAGGACTGGGCCCTGGACAAACTCGGAGCGCTGCGCTGGGCTGTTTCCGAGGTACTCCTGAAAAATAGTGAAATAACAAATACTGCAAGACTTTGAAGGTCCAATAAATATATACGGATTAGAAGGCAAAGCAATCATCATGCTAAATACTTCTCTGTAATTAAGTTTGAACATTCAGTTTGGAGTGGTTTGGTATTCCAGGTGCAGCATCACGATGGCATCACTGGCACGGAGTCTCCCAAAGTGGCTGACATGTACCAGCAGCATCTCCTGCAGGCCATGATGGGAGCAGAGGAGCTCCTAGCTGCTCTCTTTCTGTTGCCCCACAACCTCATGAGTCCCAGCACCCTTGGCGAGCACTACCCTACAAAAGGTTTCAATAATCTGATATTTCTGCAGTGCTTCCACTTTAAAAAAAAGAAAAAGTTTTTATAGTAATTAACTGAGCTAAACAGAGCACTTTAGCCAGTGCATGTCTTCGCATGTAAAAGTCGAAAAGGAAGTAAACTGCTCATCGATTTGCTCTGTAGCAGATGTTGATCAGGCTTTGGAGCAGCATGTCATCGTTTATAACCCTTTGGCGTGGAACATCACCACAATCGTCAATGTAACCGTGACGCAGCCGAGCGCTGCCGTGTTTGATGATGATGGACAGCCCGTCCCTGCGCAGGTACTGTTGTTTTGATGGTTTCTTTATATGTTGATAGGTGAATGGGAAATATGTGCAGAGATTTACAGAAATGTGCAAACATGCATGAAAATGCAGTATATGATGGGGGGTATCATCACTTTTACAATAGATGGAGTACATACTGGTCCTGATGCATCTCTCGGGTGCTCTAAAAGGTCTTTACTGGGGTTTTTGCATATTTCTTAAGGATGTAATTTCCAGATACTCTTCATCTTGCTGAAAGCTTTTAAGGCCTTTGTCCTGCATTTATTAGTTTCCTCACATTCTTTAAGATATCAGGTTGAGATGTGCCAAGTTTTCTGCTAATATCTCTTTGAGGAGTCACGCAACACTTTTGCACAGTACCGTATGTTGATAGTAAACAATGCTAAAGCAGAGTGTATCAGTACCTATAGAAGCATCTGCATAGCTAAAGCTGGCAGCATCAGCCATCAAGTCCTCTTTAATTATATCAGACCAACTAAGAGTCAAGTGATTAATTTTTCCTAAATGAGCAGTTTTATCTGCATTTGTATGTATTAATCTCAACTCTTCCCCTCTCTCTTTCAGATCCAGGGGTCAGCACACTCCAATGCGACCTACGACCTTTTCATCGTAGTGGAACTTGGAGGCCTTCAGTACAGGAAATACTTAATTAAATTCCCAGAGAATTCCAAGGCTTTTGAAGCTAAGGCCGCTTCGTTCGAGAGACGCAGCGTGAAGGACCGGGCGAAAGCAGGGAGGCGACTACTTCCTGTTCTCAGCGAATGTTACGAACTCTTGTTCGACCAGGACACCAATCTACTGCACAGCATCACCTATCTGTAAGGGTTTAAGCCTCCATCAGTTCATAACTCTTGTTCAGCTGTCATACTTCAATGAACAGAAGTTGTTTTCACACATTTCTGCAACTCTTTTCATACACGGCAGTGAGGAGAAAAGGAGAGTAATGATCACACAGGATTTCTGGGAATATGATGCCAATGGAGACGTAAAAGCAGGGCCAATTTCTGATAACTACATCTTCAGCGCTAATGGTTCAGCTGTGCGGGCCTACAAGGCTGTGGAAATGGAGATAATCCCAGGGAAGATTGTCACTGAGATCAGGCAGTACTTCTACAGGTGAGCAACAGTGACGAGTAGTTTATCATCTATTTACGTAGGTTATATTTTTTGTTATGGGAGTTACCTTGCTCTTCTCTTACTGCTAAAAGTACCACTAGTTGTTATGATCATGCTCACATTTTGAAATCTTCCGTGTTCTAGAGAGGAGAGCGATAAAGACTACGCCTACTCCATTACCACTCGTGTCCCAGAATGCTTTGGGACCAAGCTGCCGTGCCACAGGCTGGAGCAGACCTACTCTCTGGGCCCACTCAGCCTCAACACAGAGGTCGTACTCAGGACCAGCACCTCAGTGAAGAACAACAGGACTCTGTACTCGGACGACAATGGCTACCAGATGATGAAGAGGACATACAGGAAATTCACAAACAACACTTTAGCACGAGTAGGTGTTTTCAGGAATGCCTTTCTTGAGACATTCTAGCACAACATGTCGAATAATCTATATATGTCACGTTTTGCAGAACTACTTCCCTATGGTGCGCACGGCTTACATTGAGGATGACCTCAGCAGGCTGGTGCTCGTCAGCGACAGAGCTCACGGTGTGTCGAGCCAAACTGACGGACAGCTGGAGGTATAGAAAACAAAAAGACGTGCAAACAAGCTGGCCGTGCAGCCCCTTCACCCAGAAGGCAACCTAACATCTCATCTTCTGCTCCAGGTCATGCTCCATCGGCGGCTTTGGAACAACTTGCAGTGGAACCTCGGGTACAACCTGACTCTAAATGACAGCTCTGTTGTGAGGCCCACGCTGTGGATGATGCTGGGCTCTGTGAGTGCCACCTCAAAGCTGTACCAAAGGGAGGCAGTGCAGCTGCAGCACAGACCTGTCGTCATGCCCATAGACCAGCCTCGTAAGTGCTTACCACATGCAGTGGTGGGCCACTAGTACAACCCTGCGAGTCATCATCCTCATCTGTGGTTTTCATTGTCACGTCAGTAAAATGTCCATACAAGCAGCTTAATTTCAACCTTTCACACCACTTCTCAAACTCTTGTACACTCAGAGAAGCCCTGGCAGGTGAAGGAGCCCAAGCGTGGTTCTCTGTTGCGTTCGGTTGTTCTGCCGCCCAACCTCCACCTGCTCAGCCTCAGCGTCCCCGGGTGGAACTACTGCTCCAATCACAGCGTTCACCTCAGCCACATACAGTCAGGTCAGCTGTGAGAAACTGTGGGCTAGTATTTATTACCGTTTTGCAGATTTCCACTGTTTGATTTAATTTCCGTGTGGCCTGCATCCAGGTAAAGATTTGCACTCGCAGCCAGACTACGATCGGATCCTGTTGAGAATTATGCATCTCTTCGAAGAGGGAGAGGACCCCGAGCTTTCGAAGCCGGTCACCATAAACTTAAAGGTGCAGATAAAAAGAAAATTTAATACTGACAAATGAAAAAAGTTGAGATTTTCATTTTTTTTTTTTTTACTCTTGTTTATTTTGTTTTTTTACAACGGTGAACAGGAAGCTCTGCAAGGCATGGGCGAAGTGAAGGGTGTGGAGGAGCGTTCTCTGACAGGGACCTGGGATGTCACCAGTCTGCAGAGGTGGAAGTGGAAAACTGCAGATAACTTGGAAAACGGTGACAAACAGAATATATCTGAACTGATTCAGTTTTTATAAAAAAACAAAACAAAAATAATCCCTTCACCCATTTTTGCTTTCTCTCTCCTTCAGACAACAAACAGCAGCGGACGCGGGATGACAATTTCACTGTGACCATCTCCCCCAAAGAGATCAGGACCTTCTTTGTTCACTTTGTCTCCAGGAACTTTTAGGCTGAGCTTTCCTTTGTCTTCTGTGAAGATCACCAAGCTTTAGCTAAATCACAGCAGCACAATATAAAGCCTCTTTATCCTTTGCTGCACTGTTCACTAATGCTCTTTTTGCACATGTGTTGATTTGTTGATCAGATGTGAATTTGCTGTGCCTGTTGAATCAGAATAAAATGATTGTTTTGGTTCAAATGTCTGACTTCACTCTTACATAAGTCCTGTAGCCCATGTGTAGTGCCTTTGTGCGTTTTCCTCTGACTTCTGGCATCAACAAAATATTTCCTTCCAGAGAAAATGTCCAGTGCTTCTGCAGATCAGCAGTTCTGACCAACAACCGTGACTTTTTAGAGTCACTTAAATCCCCTTTAGATTCTCAGTTTGAACTTCAGCAGCTCACCATGACCATAACTGCATGTCTAAACCTATTCTGTTGCTGCCATGTGATTGGCTAATTAGATACTTACATATTAACAATCAGTCGAAAGGGTGTACCTAATGAACTGACCACTGAGTTAAGTTATTTTTGTGTGTTTCAAGCATCAGTTCTATAAAGTTATAGCTTACTTGCAGTACGCAGATACGGCCGCTAGGGGCTTCGTTTCCCCCAAATTGATGCTACTGACAGACCAAGAAAGGCAACACCCGCTGAAAGCCGAGGCTCTTTGTGCAAATCTAAGCGTTCATCCAGAAACGAAGTGGCGTTAAGCAGCAGAATACACGGCTCAATGCTGACATGCAGCAGCTTATAGAAACACAGCGTGCGCGCCTGTGAGGGAGACGACGACGTCCGCAGTTTGGCCTAAGATGAGCAGCTCCGGTGTGAGTATCGTTTACCTCACGATGAGCTGTGAGGGGTTTGTGAATCGGTGCGATTTTAGAGCAGCCCGATCCATTTTTATATCAGCATGCCACTCTTTGTTCTCAGCATGTGTCCGTGCTTTGACTCATTTCACAAACGGAGGGTTTATTGTCACTAATATTGATGGGGGTGCAGGGTGCTCCTGCAGGGTGAGGAGGAGGCGTTGCAAGTGTTGCTATGATACCAGGCAGGGAGAGGGTGCTGATGCCCGCTGGAGTGGTGCCGTCATTTTTATCGTTATGTTCAGATCGCTGTGCTGTCTGTGTGCATGTGTGAACAGAAACGAGAGAGGGAGCAGAAGAGGAAACTGCAGCACTTCCTCGGTGACCTTGCTTTGCTCGGATCCTTGCAGGTTTGGCCACACCAGCATGCGCGTGCACGCTCGGCTCACCTCTCGCAAAATCACAAAATCACATTGCTTCCTTTGCAGGGTTTTAAATACTTCCAGCCTTGGCTCAGGGGGAAAGAGGAGTTGCTGCTGACAGTTGTTAATGAGGATCTGGTGAGTTTCTGTAGAGAAACTGGGTGATTATATAGACTATACTGCCAAAAGGTATTTGCTCATCTGTCTTCACAGGCATATGAGCTTGAGTGTCATCCTGTTCTTAAGCCCTAGCATTTAAAATGATGTCAATCCACCCTTTGCAGCTATAAAAACTTCAACTCTTCTGGGAAGGCTTTCCACAAGGTTCAGGAGTGTTTATGGGAATTTTTGACAGTTCTTCCTGATGCACATTTGTGAGGTCAGACACTGCCTGGCTCACAGTCTCCTCTCTGATTAACCCCAACGGTATTCAGTCGGGTTAAGGTCAGGACTTTGTGCAGGCCAGTCAAGTTCTTCCACACCAAACTCTCTCATCCATGTCTTTATGGACCTTGCTTCATGCACTGGTGTGCAGTCATGTTGGGACAGGAAGGGGCCATCCTCAAACTGTTCCCACAAAGTTGGAAGCATGAAATTGTCCCCTCCACCAAACTTTAAATTTGGCACAGTGCAGTCAGACACCATCGAGTACCATCTCCTGGCAATCACCAGCCCCAGACTCATCCATCAGATTGCCAGACGGAGAAGCGTGAATCGCCACTCCACAGAACGCGTCTTAACTCTGCAGAAAGTTGGTGTGCAGAGGTCATTCGTTGAACCCGCTCTTCCACTTCCACTTTGTTATAATACCACTAACACTTGACTGTGGAATGTTTAGTAGTGTGGAAATATCACAACTGGCCTGGTTGCACAGGTGACATCCTATCACAGTACCAAGCTGGAATTCACTGATCTGAGAGTGACCCATTCTTTCACAGATGTTTGTAGAAGCAATCTGCATGCCTAGGTGCTCGATTTTTACAAAATTCAATGGTTTGGATGGGTGAGTGAATACTTTTGGCAGTACAGTCCAAGTGAAACATTCACACACCTCCCCAGTCTCACTGTCTTATCTAGGGCACATCTATGACTTCTACAGCAGCTTTCTCTCCCTTTCCCTTTATTTTTGTTCGCAGGGTTGGCGTTCCCCAGGCTTTATGGTGTCCAGAGCCTCCTCCTACTCCTCCACCAGCAGCTGTAACAGCAGTGATGTCTCTCCCAGCAGCAGCTCTCCCAGTCTGACCAGCCGTAGCAGCTCCCCCCTGCCCGGGGAGCCTCCGGGCCCACGAGGCTCCCGGTCACATACCAAGACACAGCCACAGACTGCCAGGTGATTGACTGCAAGTTTGTGTGTGCGTGTGGATAGTAACACATATGTGCTTGGGTTCAGAGGGCAGCTTGGGTTGTTTGAGGCATTTTAAGAATTGCAATATTTTTTATTGTGCATCGTGGAAAGTAATCTCCTCCTAACTGGGTAAAAAATGATACATGTAAGAGGATTTAGATGTGGAAGTATGAGTAGAAACTTCCTACTGGCTCTCCAGGTTTGCATGAAACTGATAAATCATTGGAGCTCTTTCTGCAGTCACAGGGAGGCCTGCATCGAGGAGCATCTTCTCCCAGCATCTCCCAGTGAAAGGGAGATAGCAGTACCCGTAAGTACCTGCAAGGAGGCGAAGTGCAGAAGCCAGTATAAGCGTTCTTCTCTTGCCTCTGTTATTTAAATTGCTCACTCAGCCTCGCAGCCCACACTTTGTCCCCCTCTAACAGGAGGTCAACTGCACTCTGTTTCTATTGGCCGGCTACGTCAAATACGGACGCCCCTACGCGTGGATACGCTCCAATCACGAGCGCCTAGTCAACATCGGTGGCACAGATTCGATGGTCAAAGACACGCCCATGAAACTCAAGTCCATTGCAGACTGGCAGACGCGAGGTATGGAAACAATGTGTGGAATCCTAACAGGAGAAAGTTATTGTTTCAGTGAACTGATTCAATAATTACACCATTTTCCATGAGCTAAATCAGATGCAGATGTGTCTGTGCTGCAGCTCGAGCCTCGCAGAGATCAGTATTTACGGTGGATTAGGGCCGTGGAAAAAGGCTCCTAGTGCTTTGGTTAATGCATATATGTTTATGTGCAGTGCATGACATCTCACAATAAAAACATCAAACTTTTCTTTCTTTTGTCCTTCGTCAGCAATTCGTGTGTGGGACGTTGTCAGTGAGCTGGTGTGCCTCTGCACCGTTCCCTCTCCGTCCAACCCGTTCGCCCTGGACATGCGTTACATCAAAAGTCTTCCTCTCGCCGAACGCTTTCTTGTCACGGGAGCTCTCCTTAACTTCCTGGAGATGTACGTGGTTTACGGCAACCGGGACGAGTTGCATTATGATAAAGGTGCGAACCTTTATCACTCTTGGTTTACTATACCAGCAGGTGGTGCTGTTTAGCTATATTTTAAAGGCATGAAACCTGAAGCCTTTCTCCTAACATACTTAGCTTGGATACATAATCATTTAAGAGCATTGCTGAGTGTCCGTGATGATGTTTTGTTTTGTTCTTCCTTTCAGTGGTGGAAGAGGTGAAGCCTCTCAGGCGTCTTCATGTACACTCCCTGCTCGAGTTGCAGCGACTTAGAGAGAGCTCCGGCAGCGCCGCGGTGCACGGCTCTTCTGCAGAAGAGTGATTCTGATTGTTTGCATATACTGTGAGCTACATCAAGCTGGCCTTTTATTAATGTAGGAACAAAAACAAAACAAAACTAAACAAAACAAAAAAACCCAAAAAACTAGTAATCCTTGTGAGCCAAAAGCTCAGAAATCAGAGTGCTCTATGTGCTTGGTGCTTCTGTTTGCAAGGGGCAGCCAATCAAGAGAAAGATGGCTTAAAGGGGGAGGGGCTAAAGTATCTTGTTGGTGCAGAGGATGAGGTGAGGGGCTGCACGAAGCCTAGTATGAGAGAAATAAGGATTATTTTGAACTGTAAATCATGCCATGGTACAAAATAGGAAGGAAGCAGAAGCAGGCTATCGGGGAGCTCCGTATCATTAGGAAAATTAACTCCAAAATATATGGACTTCTTCACTTTTCCTCCAAAGTGAGGCATGAAATTCTCAAACGCTGCAGTAACCCATGCAGATGGAGATGAATCACCTTTGGTTGCAGGTGTCAGATATTAACAATTTTAAAGAACTAGAGAAATAACCCTGGGAAATGAGTCACATGACTAAAATTCTAAATAAATCCCAGGACATCTGAACGTGCTGCCCCGTAACCCCTAAAACCTTCAATCTCTTCCTCTCCACCCACTCCCACATACTTAAATCGGTTTTCATCAGACCAAATATAGCATTTTAAAACTGGAAGCCTGGAAACAGAATGATTAATCGAGGGTCAGAGTAGTAAGAGTACAAAATGCACAGGCAAACAAATGCTTTATAAAAAACTTTTAATATTCCATAAAATACATATTTAAATATGTACGACAACATAAAAACAGAACACTCGTTAAATACATCTTAAAAGCGGGCACATCGACGCCTTTTCTGAGATGAGGCTTGTGCCGTTTGTAATTAAAAAGTCAGGTACATCATGTTAAAATTAACCAATAACAACCTGGTTGCACATCAGTCAGGAAAAAAAAAAAAAAAAAACCTTCCCTGTTTAAAAAGAAAAGACATTTTTAGCTTCGTTTTGGTCAGAAAACAGAAAATGGAGTTAACAGTAACCTCTGGCTTCATCAACAATCCTCCTGTCTCTCATGTTTGTAAACCTAGAGATAAAAAAATTACCATCATGGCACAAGTTACGCAACACGGCACACGTGTGTGACCAGAACGGTCACTCTAGATGGACTCCGGCACCTTTTATGGCTTTTATTGATGTGAAGGAGCAATTTAAAAAAAAAAGCACGGCGTGCTGTTTACCGACAAGGCTGCTCAATATGCAAAGTCACGGGTGGACAAGAAGAATTTGGGGTTTTTCTAGGAAAGAAAGGCGCCGCCACCCTTCATCTCAAGTTTCCCCCCCTATTTGGAATGCAGGTGCATGGCCCGGCATTCCTCACGCAGGTTTCACACAGGAACACAGTGTTCCCAGTGTGGGACACAAACAACCAGCAAGTCACTGCTGAGGCTTCCCCACCCCTCACATAAATGCTAATTATTTATTGCTAAAGACAATTAGGACCTTTTTTTGTTTTGCAGGTTAAGCAGAGACTTTTTAAAATTATTATTATTATTAACACCTCTATTCTGATAATGTCCATTTTCCCTCTGGCATGCATTACACTGAGAACTGACCTCATATCAATAAAAACTTCAATTTCCTGAGTGAGATCATCTTAAAAAGGACTCGAATGTGCTCAGACTAATTATGCATATCACAGACTTGGTGGGGAAAGGAAAAAACAAACTAAACTTTACTTTGGTATGACATGCCCGCATTGTCTTAGTCGTCTTAAATTTGTTCATCCAACTACAAAAGTAGGGAAAAAAAACAAAAACAAAAAAAGAAATGCTCATTAATGGAACAGGCTGAAAAAGAAAATAACTACTTCATGACTCTGTCACATGTGTCACTTAAATATAAATAAATCTCGAAAAAGAAGAAAAAAAAAGGACTTCCAGGTTCTCGTGGTGCTTTTCCAGTTTTGCCGGGGGACTGTTTGGCCAAGAGCAGGTACTTGGTTGGTTTAACTGTCTCTTTCCAGCAGATCAAAGTCTTTGGTGGCTTCAGCATCAAACAGAACATCAAACAAGCCCAAAAACAAAATTAAAAACCCATGACAGACAGTTTGGGTATGTCCCAGTCTAGTCCTCACACAGCCTTGCGGCCTGTCACAGTTCAGTATCTTGTGCCCGGTTGGACTCTGCGCTTGCAAAAGTCCAAAGGCAACTCTGCCCAGTCAAAAAGAAAAAAAATCTCCTATCTCCAAGTCCTCACTGATTACGGCAGCATCCACCCATGACCAGTTCTTATATCCAAATATGGACCTTTCTCATGTCTCATTAACATCCACTGTGGTCTTCATTGTATTTTTCAATCAGTCGCTTCCCTTCAGCGAGGTTGTCAATAAAGTGGTCCCACATCTGACCACAACAACAAAAAAAAAGAAAAAAGAACAGGTTTCAGTTCAAGCTGTCAGAGGACGATCCTCTCCTGGTGATTGTTCTCATGGGGCTGCGGGATACAGAGCCTCTCTTCCTCCAGCGAACTGTGAAGGAAAAGGACAGAGTCAGGGATGTTGGCTTGGCTGCTGCAGCTGAATTATCAACAGTGAAAGCCAGCCTCTAGACAGGCCTAGGTTGTCATTATCTGAGAGAAGCACACTGTGTGATTGTTTGGGTAAGTTGGCACCAAATAAGGCTAGCTTGAGTTTAAAGTCTTCCTGGTTCAACTTTTATGTGGCAGTGCTGAATTCTCACCTTTTCCCAGACCGGCTGGCAGCGTGGAGCTCTTTGCTTTGACTTGAGAATTGGACGAGTCCTCTGCAAGTTTTCCTTTCACCTCTCCCGACGGCATCGTGGCCACGCCGGTCTGCTGCCAGTCGCTCATCGCCCGCTGGAAGGAGAGTCCCAGACAGGCGGTCATGTCCCGCGCTCGCTCCGCACGGCTGCACCAGAACACCCGACACTGCAGCTGCTGCCCCCGGTGCTTGCAGATGTACAAGAAGACGTTGGGCCGGTTGGTGTCGGCGGCGCAGTACGCAATGTCCTGCAGGTAGGTCTTCGTGAGCTGCCGACCCGTGCTCAGCTCTTTGACCTCGACGTATCTGGGCCGCACGACAAGGGCGTGGTCCTTCCTGAGCTTCTTCCCGTTCGCGATACCCTCCAGCAAGTGAGAAATGGCCTCCTCTGCTTGCTCCCGGTCCAGAGAAAAGATCTTTTCCGTCCCCAGGTAGTGCACTTTGAACAGAGGGTCGCCGTGGGACAAGGACTCCGTCTGGTCGCGGCGGAATCTGCGCCGCAGCTCGGCGGGCGAGTTCTTCAGGGTCTGCATGAGGTGGAAGGTGCTGAGGGACATGATGCGTTTCAGGCTGGGCTTGGAACTTTTAGTCGTAACCGGGTTCTCGTCAGCGCGTCTCCCAATCTTCCACCCTCCTTTAAATGGAGCGTGGCTGCATCCACTGCTTTTATCTGAAATGAGGCAGACGAAGACGGTGACGTTAGCAAATCCAGAGACGACCGATAAGCCGAGCAGGGGGTAAATCAGGCAAAATGAGAGGCTATGTACTTTCTAATAAATTAAGTAACAAAAACAAGGTTGCACTTATGATGCAAAAAGAGACAAGTCATCACAACTCGCAAATGGGAAAGAGACAAAGTCACCAAACAGGTTTGGTTACAGAAGTTGCAGTCAGTGAAGTATTCAGTCCCTACAGACAGACAGCACCCATTAAATATCTACAGTTTGCCTTGGGCTTTGCTGTCACTGTACTCTTAAGAAACAAACACAATGATGGAACTGGAAACGTGCCAGAACAAATGGAAGATTACTGTAAAAAGCTAAAGTGACACAGGCAAACACTAGGGCCATGTTCAAAACGAACTGTGCATTGCAAACTCAATTACACCACTTCTGGAGGACTTAAAGGCTTTTGTGATCTTGCAGAGAAATAAAAAATAAAAAAGTCTTATGCAACCACATCTGGCCACCCATTGTCTCTCCTATCCTACATACCGACAGAGCTGCCTGCTCTCCATTGTGTTGCTCCTTATATTTTTTCCTCTCCCTTTTCTTGGCCATTCTTTCAACATCCTAGCTCCCTCCTCAGAAGTGACTCGCACAGAGAACCGCCGACTGTTCTAAGGTGGTGGCCATTGTTGCTCAAACCCCTGCGCAGGAAACAGCTTTGCATCCCCCCCCCCACCCCCCACCTAAGCATTTTTCCCGCAACACAATGACATGCTTATGAAAAGTGTGTCATCTCATGAAAGAGCTGCAGGTTCAGCCTACAGCACAGCAAAGGTAGAGCCCAAACCTGCAGGTTTTGGTACAGTTACATATGACCAGTGCACACATGGACAGGTACAGTTAATTGTGTGGGTCCACACCCCCCCCCCCCCCACACACACACACACACACACACACACACACACACACACACACAGTTTTGCATTTAACCGAAGTCTCTGACGCACAATCAGAGAAATGTAATCCCAAATTTCCATCCAGGTAACACTTCACGTGCATCAGAATACACTGTCGTTTTCTCGTGCACGCAAATATAAAACTAGCTCATGCAAATATCTACAATCTCTGGAAGTGGAAAGAACATTTTGTTTACATTTACCCCGAGCATGTGAGCCTGTTTATTTCACGCAGAACACGTTCATAGATGCCCGGAATAACCCTCCATCCAAAATAAGTGGCACGTACGCTTTGTGATGCTTTCGTTTGTAGAAAATAAGAACAGAAGACTGTCAGTAAGCAGTTGCTTCAGTTCTTCGCTCAATACATCCAAGCCGAATTGACAACCAAAATCTAAAAGATGATTGAAAATAACTCAAAGTTAGCGTGCGAAGTGAATATTATTAGAAAAAACGAGATAACTCTAAAAGAGCTGATTTTGCTGCGGGGTTCGGCTAGACCCGACGTGTCTCCAAACTTGGGCTTAAAACTTGCTGAGAAAACCCTCCTATATTTGCTCAGCAGATATTCCCAGCAGAGTTTCAACACCTATCAAACTGTTGTTGTTTTCTATACATCGTTTAGAGCGCTACACGACAACCAAATTACTTGTTAGGACGTGAAACTTACCTGGCTTCAGTTTCATGCAAACGACGTTTTGGTGCCGCTCAGGTGAACCGTAGCGTCCCGTGATCTCGGGCAGGTGAAACTGCAATCCTGCACAGAACTGTGCGGCTGTCTGTAACCGCAAAGCAACTCCGAAGCTCCTCTCTGTTTGAACTCTGTGCGGTTAGAGAACTGACTGACTGACTGACTGACTCGCACCTCTCTTCTCTGCTCTCTGAAACGTTGGATGAGGCGAGCGCCCGTGGGACCGCCGTTTTTAAACAGCGCAGGCGCGAGCACGTCACACGCGAACGAGCGTTTGCGTCCGAGCAGAGCGGGGGTGCTGTGGTGGGGGCCACAGGGCAGTAGCGATGATTTATAAGAGAGGGATTTACAGGCAAGACGGGGCGGGCAACAATAGACCCGCTTTCACTTACTGGAACTGTTGTCTTAATTTATGACTTATTTACATTTTCACTGTAGTATCAGGGCGGTCAAGTACCCTGGATTTTCTTTTATATTTTTCTCACAACGGGAAGCATTGTCATTTTTACACACACTTCTCCAGAAATAATAATATTTTCACATTATATAGAATATGGGTGACAACAATAAAAAAAAAAGCTCTACAGTGCACAGAGTAATCAAAAGCAGCGTTATTTAACCAGGCAACCTGATCCACTGACCCAGTTTGTTATCATGCAAATATTATCCTGCACATTTAGTCGCGAAATGTGGAAATTAATGATCTGATGATCTAAATTTCCCTTTTTTGGTCCAGGTTCTCACTTTTAGAGAGCTCCTTTCGTCCAAGTAAAGGTCAAACATCCATAGATATTCAGTTTGAAATAGGTATTTCACACAGCTTGTTTTTAATTTTAATTTTATTTCTGTCAGTCTTGCCTTTTTCATTTGCTGGAATCTAGAGGAAGTGAATGAGGACACGCAGACGGCTGGTGTGACAGCGGTTGATATGGAGCTAGATGATCCAAGGAGAAGAAGAAGATTAAGACTTGCTATATTTCTTGTCATTCTCCAAAAGTAGGTGAAACTAAAAAAAGAAAAAGTTGTGATATTTTGTGTCACCGTGCTCCTCCAGCAGTTTCACATTTCTTTATTTAACCACATGTGCAATACCACACTGAGCAAACATCTGAAACCCACTAACTTTCGTTACCATCGCATTGCGTCACAGCCTCTCTAATGAGGATCGTTGGCCTTGCTGGTTCAGATCTGCTCTGGGTGTTTATTCTGGGGGCATTTCGAACAGTGGCAGAGGAAAACTTTAAACGGTTCCATGTGTCCGTACATTTGTGCGTGTGTGTGTGCGGCTGGGTGTGCCTGACGCTGTGAAACAGTAGGGCCTCTGTTTCTGCTGGGTTTGGCCCAACAACAGCTAAGTTCTGGACGTCACACTTGCCTCAGTACCTTAGCGGGACACACAGAAACTATTCTTAGGGCTCTGGTGACATAATGGATCATCTCAGACATGCACCCACCCACCTACGTATGTTACACCGGGAGGCAAGAACAGACTCAGCATCCATCCAAGACGTCCCGTAGGAAGGGGTGCAGCTGCAGTCCTTGAGCATGTAAAGGCATGTTGCACCATGTTGCATTGGAGAGACTGCTTCTTTGTTCCCCCAGTTGAGAGGATGGGGCAGCACACAAAGCATGACAATCCCCAGCAGTCAAAGACAAATTATTCTTTAGATTTTACAATTAGCCACATAATTACCAGGGGCTCTGGTGGATACAGGCACACCCAGTTCTTCAAAAACCAGTTGGCGCCTCTTATTTCAAATCCCCCGACTCCTGCTTGTGACTGAAACCAATTAGCGAGTCTTTGAAGGAGTAATTATAAGTAATTGTTGGCAAACAAAGGCATCCTCAGGAGAACGGGCAGTCCAAGATACTGCAACACTTCACTAACAAAACAGCTGCTCGAATGGTCAAAGTCAGCACTCTTCACAGCTGAGCCAAGACAGGATTCAGGAATTTGCACTTCCAATAAGACAGTCAAAGGAGCTTGCAAAGAAAAGCGTCTGGACTTCTTTAAATTACTTGAAGACGTTTCACCTCTCATCCGAGAAGCTTCTTCAGTTCTAAGGTCAAATGGTGGAGAGTCCCAGATATAAACCTAGTGGGAGTAACCCCCCACAGAGGGACAAAAGGATCCCCTGATGATCCTCTAATCGCCTGAGCCAAGGTGTGGAAGCTATAGAAATGGATAATGAGTGACCCAGACCTGAAGGCCATTCCAGTTCCAGTGAACCTGAAACTTGAAATTAGGCTTTGTTCCAAAGAACAGGTTTCTGTGGTCACTGGGAACAAATTGTTATGAGAGTTGCCCTCTTATTTACAGGATTTTTTGTAACCTCTGTCCTGGTTGTCATGCAGCCTCATAAAAACGATAGATGGACCATCTCTGTAGTTGGAAACTCAGTAAGCAGAAAACTTTTAAGGAAGTAAAATTACACTGTAAACTTGAATCCATTCATGGTAGAGCTGTGTTATGGCCAGTTCTCCTTTTTCCAAGTGCTCTAAATCAAATGCCATTTATTGATGCCTATCTGCAGCGCTCAACAATGAAGGCTGCATTCCAGTTTGCTATCTGTGAGTCCCATTGAAGCGATAGCGGTTCCTCCAGCCTCTATCGCAGCAAGCACTATAAAAAGAACGCTAAAAAGAATGCTGTGAACTTTTACCTTAAAACGATCCTTGTCAGATGCCGAGCATCACATTGGCCTGAAGTAACCTACCTGTTAGTCTGGCGTCAAGGCTGAAACCCTCCAGGTACAAGAAACAGAATAACGTGCTGACGTGACCCAGAGATATGAAAAATGATGCTCAGTGACTCAGTGTTTCAAGTTTTGCTTTAAGAATTCCATAAAGCTGCTGAATAGATTTCTATGAAATTTACTGAGGACAGATTTTTATTTAATACCTTCAAGTTCATGCGGAGGATATGCACAAAATCACTGGGCCACCTGCAAATTACAAATATAAGAACTGCTCAGGCATGAAAACCCATTACAAGAAGCTCCCGGTGGACACCTTTAATGCTGATGTTTGACATGCTAATACTCCTATGAAGGCCCACAGAGCCGTTATTATGGTGGTAGACTCTAAGTCTTTTTAAAAATACTTCACTAAAGCGATCAATAGTAGACTCAGAACATGAAAACAAGCATAGAGCACAGAAGGTACCACTGACGTCTTTTTACTGGGGGAGTAATTCAAAATATGGTTGCAGAGAATTTTAATTAGCCTACCAAATTATTTGTTTATTTATTTATTTGGTTGTTTCAAAAGTCTATATAAGACAAAATGTCAATGCCATTAATACATTTAACTTAGAGCTTCTGTATTTACGTTATACTTACATTTAAGGAAATATATTGTACCTTGTATCTGTTACTTTGTATCACATTTGTCGTTTGCAACTTGTTGCTAAGTCCTTGACCAGAAATCGCATCATATGCTTCCAAAAAACCTTCGAAATCCATTTTATCCAAATGCGAGCATCATGTCAGTGTGACAGCAGTGCCTTTTTCTGCCCGCTTTCTTACTCGAGCGCCACACGCATTGGTAAACTGTGTTCAGTGATAAACAAGTTCACCTGTAAGGGGAAGTTGGTTGAGGCGTGGAGTTATGAAAACAGGAATGGTAACTATAGATTTATGGGTCGTCTGTTGTGTTGCGAAACATCTGCTACAATAGACAACATGATAGGGGTAGATTTTTTGTCCATGTATGGTATGACAAGTGTCCCGTTTGACGAGTGCGATCAAGTAAGGCACAGTGATGTTTTGTAATTGCATCAGAGACGCCTTACATAACTTTGTCATTCTTGAGTTGTTTTGAGAATGGGCTGGGTCATGGCACGGAGAAAAACAACAACTTGTGTTCCTTGATGTTAGAATAGCTGCTCTAAATGATGTGCCTGTGAAGTGGAGGGTTATAGCAAGCATGCTACTACATAATGGACTCAAAAAGGAATCAACACATTCAAATCTTTTAACGCTGCCGACTGTCTTTGGCACTTTACTGCAACCATTTGCATCACTGCCATTCCTGCTGCTGTTGGTCGTTTCCACTACTGTCCATGCAAATGTCTGCTACTGCACTTGCACTACTGCCACTATTGTACATAGATTTGATTTTTATATATTCCCTTAAACATCATTTATCTTTTCTTAAGTCTTCTTTTTATATTAAGGTGAGAGAGAAGCTGAATTTCAATTATCTTGTACTTTCTGTACATGGAGCCAATAACAATAAAACATATCTTTCTAAAAGCAAACAATAACAAAACTAAAGCTAGGTATGGAAAGGTGAGGTGTTGGTTCTAACCTTCGCTCATTTGGTGAGAACTGACTGCAACAAGCATGACTAGACATTAATACTGGCACGTTAAGACATGATCAGCAATTTGTAGACACTGATAAGACTGTGATTATTTCAGATTTCTTCATGCACACCATCACACACACCATTCGTTTACATTGTTATAGGAAGGAGTTTAAGGAAAGGAAATAGAAATGGTAATTTATATATTCTGTGTAAATGTACTGTTAGCTCGGACATATGCTTTGATAGGCTAATACATAAACAGTACGACCAGTTGTCCCCTTATGTTTTGCTACTCTCAGAAGTCCTGGTTGGTATAAAATTAAACCATAAAAGATTAATATAACATAAAAGATACAAACCTAAAACCTATGTAGGTCACAACGCAATGCAATGCAATAACAACAACAAAACCATAAATTAAATACAAATATTAAATACATTTTTTATTACAAAACTACAGTGATCACATATTTGGAAAGGTAATTAGTATCAGTAACATGGCCTAACTTTACTCATGAAAAATATAAATAACACAGAATTTCTGTGGCGCAATAAAAGTGAAGCAATTAGTCCAACAGTTATTTACATACTTTTATGGGTTTGACACATTTAAGTGACGAGAGGTGGTCTTTCACTCAGAGTGATTTAATCAGGAGGTAAAAAAAATCCTTTATCTGCTTCAGGTCACACCTTCCCGGACAAGTGAAACAGGCCTCTGGTTTCAGAAGGAAGTGACTCTGTTTTTCAAAAGAAGTTACTGGTGGGGCTTTGTTTTACAGTCTGGCTTCACAGTCAGGTTTTACTGTTATTTAACCAAAACTAAAGGAAATGGTTTAAGAAGAAGGAAGAGAAGAAATGAGGTGTTTCA